TGCTTTTAAAGCATTCTTGACACATACATTTTCTTATAACAAAATATGGCATCACTTTAGTGAAAAAAGGCCTTCATTTTTAATAATGCCGGAAATATTCCGGATTTTCACTAAAAATGCAAGAAATTTTGAAGTGGCCCTTTTCCCAAATGTTTCTGCACAGTGATGGAAAATCAGAGGATTGTGCCAATTCTTCTTACAGGAAATTCCCTGCAAATTGCACAAAGTGACCATGATTTTGAAAATATTTCCTGCACTTGGCCTATATTACTTGGTTTCTACGCGGGAAGCGTACATGTGCGCTCTGCCACGTGTCCGCATACATCGCTTTCCTCAGCTTACCTGTGGCGGGCATTTCCAGTCTCAGTTGTTCACAGTTTACTGAAAACACAGCCTTGCCCTCGGGTAGATGCCCACTTCCTCCGCACGAGAAAGCGACTGCCTATTCCCGCAGCTATGTAGTAGTTATTAGCTACACCTTTTGGAGTGCTGTTGCTGGTTTACAAGGCCGATGTCCCGAGGGGGAGGCCTTGTATACCGCAACAGCACGACAAAAGGTGTGATAATTATAGTTGCTTAGGGGCTATGACGTCAATTGCCGTCGCATACACGCGCATTTTTGTGGTTTCGCGTCTTCTGCCGCGCTTTCTCGTGTGCGGAGCTCCCACTGGCGTTTCTCCTTGCTTTGCGCTCTGTTGCAAGTCATGGCAAAGAGGTCTCGAAGCCCTCTTCGCGTAAGTGTCGAAGGGTGGACTTCAGAAGCCTGAGGACGATGATCAATCCCGCCCGGGTAAGAAGCTGAGGTTGAGTCTGGCATTAGGGAAGTGTAAAGCCCATGAGTCAAGAGTACAGTGATTTTTTAGCGGTGCTAAAGTTAAGACGCTGGAAAAGAAGTTCGTTCCAAGAACACGGAAGTTGCTATGATGCAATACGCAGTGCTTATATAAATTAAAAATCCTGCGAATTTAAAAAAAGAGGCATATAGGGATCGTATAAAAAAGAAAGGGAGACAAGATAGGGATGGGATACATGAAACAAGGGTAATGAACAGATTTGAGTACGCTGACACCCCCAACCCCATCACACAATCCCTACATTGTTGCCTAGGTGAAGTATTAAACATTTACCAATACAATACTCAGAACTTACAATACACTGCTGAGTAACCAACACCCTTATAGAGTACAAGTGGAGTTTAAAAAGCAATTGGGCCGTATAAATGTCACTAAAACAACAGGGACACGGTGAAAGAATGCTTGATTTTAGTAACCTTTAGCCCCTATGAGAGTAGCACACCAGGCAACAATATAGGGATTGCATGATGGGGTTGGGGGTATCAGCGTACTCAAATCTTTTCATTACCCATGTTTCATGTATCCCATCCCTATCTTGTCTCCCTTTCTTTTTATACGATCCCTATATGCCTCTTTTTTTAAATTCGCAGGATTTTTTATTTACTTGTCTCCACTCATTTTTATATACTACTACGTATTATCTCTGTGGAATGGGGCAAGCCCCTATAAAAATTAAAATACTAGAGAAAAAATGTCTGTTGTCGTCATGGAAATGATGTGCATGCCATGTTTCATCTCCATGTGTGCTGCTGTTCGCAAATTAGAGGAGTGAAGAAGAAATTTTAAAGAAAAGTGCCTGAGGCTATTTGTTGTTGTGGTCGTCATGGAAACAATATTACACACATGCGCTCCAAGTTTCACCTCCATGCGTGCTATACTTAGCGATTTTGAGGAGTGAAGAAGTAATTTTAAACAAAAGTGCCTGAGGCTATTTGTTGTTGTGGTCGTCGTGGAGACAGTGTTACACACAGGTTGCGCTCCAAGTTTCACCTCCATGCGTGCTACAGTTAGCAAGTTTGAGGAGTGAAGAAGTAATTTTAAAGAAAAGTGCCTGAGGCTATTTGTTGTTGTGGTCGTCATGGAAACGATGTAATACACATACACCAAGTTTCACCTCCATTCGTGCTACAGTTAGTAAGTTTGAGGAGTGAAGAAGTGGTTTTAAAGAAAATTGGGGCTATTTGTTGTTGTTTACAAAGAATTAAGTATGACCAGTCTCTTCGGGTGATGGATATCTACATTCTTACAAAATTTCATTACTTTAAGTTGTTTCGTTTTGGAGTTATGGGTATTGAATATGAAGAAGAAGGAGAAGAAGAAAACAAAACTCCCTATCATAGCCCGATACATCTATGATGCTAGGTACCATGCCAATCCCTATCTACTAAGTACTACCGTACTTAGTGATAAGCACTAACAACGGAGCATATTGTCACCTTATCACCTCGTTGGTGCATTTATAGTAGCACAATAAACATAGCTACCACCTAGCAACGGTCAATAAACTGTTGTATTGTTTACTACGCTCGGTACAAACTAGTTCAGCTTGCTTTTGCATAACTGAGCACCAATTTACGCTGTATACCATTTCATAGTCTCTCAGGGTGTAGAAATCGACATATTTCCCGGCTAAAACGATCGCTCGCGTCTTTGCTAAAGCGCGTGTTTTTCCATGCACGCGCATGGCGATTGCACGCATTTCAGCGCATACGCTCAAAGGGTTAGAATGTGACCTGTGGGGAAAACACTCGTAGTATTCAATGTTGAGAAAATGATATGTAAGAGTATTGCTGTGTAATGGCCCCTTGTTAACCCTCGGCGCGCATGCGCGAGGGTTACTGTAGTTGTCTGTCTGTGTGTATCTGTTACCGCTCTAGCTGCTTCAGCGTCCGTTTATATTCACAAGCAACAATACACATGGGTTTCTCGTAGGCTTTTCTTTGATTTTGACTCGTTGATTTTTGAAAAAACCTTCCGTTCCAAAGTTATGGCGTGAGAAGCAAGTGAACAAGCCAATATGCTAATTAGCACAGGTTTACCTCGACCGGGTCCGCTTGCTCTGTGTACCTTGAAGGCACATGAAGTCACAACGAAGGGCGTGTATCGACTTCCGCATGCTATCTACTACTGTAGCTAGCCCGTGTCCGACTCTTCGTGAGCTACTAGCGGGAGGCCACGAGTAAACGCATACTACAAACAAGTAAATTAAAAATCCTGCGAATTTAAAAAAAGGGCATAGAGGGATGGTATAAAGAGAAAGGAGACAAGATAGGGATTGGATACATGTAAGGAACATATTTGAGTACGCTGATACCCCCAATCCCATCACACAATCCCTATATTGTTGCCTGGTGTTCTACTCTTATAGGGGCTAAAGGTTACTAAAAGCAAGCATTCTTTCACCGTGTCCCTGTTGTTTTTAGTAACATTTATACTGCCACATTCCCTTTAATTAAACTCCACTTGGACTCTATAAGGGTGTTCGTTACTCAATAGTGCATTGTAAGTTCTGAATATTGTAATGGTGAATGTTTAATACTTCACCTAGGCAACAATATAAGGATTGTGTGATGGGATTGGGGGTATCAGCGTACTCAAATCTGTTCCTTAACCATGCTTCATGTATCCAATCCCGATCTTGTCTCCTTTCTTTTTATGCCATCCCTATAATTATGCCTCTTTTTTTAAATTCGCAGGATTTTAAATTTACTTGTCTCCACTCATTTTTATACACTACTACGTATTATCTCTGTGGAAGGGGGCAAGCCCCTTTAAAAATTAGCAATAGAGAAAATATACCTGTTGTCGTGATGGAAATGATATGCATACCATGTTTCATCTCCATGTGTGCTGCTGTTAGCAAGTTTGAGGAGTGAAGAAGAAATGTTTAAGAAAAGTGCCTGAGGCTATTTGTTGTTGTGGTCGTCATGGAAACGATGTTACACACATGAGTACCAAGTTTCACCTAAGTTTTAGGAGTGAAGAAGTAATTTTAAAGAAAAGTGTCTGAGGCTATTTGTTGTTGTGGTCGTCATGGAAACGATGTAATACACATGCGCACCAAGTTTCACCTCCATGCGTGCTACAATTAGCAAGTTTGAGGAGTGAAGAAGTAATTTAAAGAAAATTGCCTGAGGCCTTTTCGAACAATATGCGGTCGTCATGGAAACATGTAATCGTGATGGAAATGATTAGGCATACATATCAAGTTTCATCTCTATGCGTGCTACCATTGGAAAGTTTGAGAAGTGAAGAAGTTAAAAGTGCCTGAGGCTATTTGTTGTTATATACAAACATGTATTGTTGTGATTTTGATGTTGCCTATTGAAACATTGTGTATACAAACTTCGTTCACGTAACTCTTACCAATTGTAAGTTACACTGACACATGTAGTATGCCCATTATAACGTATTGCCCATTATAATGTATTGCCTGGGGCACTTTTGTTGTTGTTTACAAACAAAAAAGTATGACGTTGCACATGTGGCTATCGATATGTACATTCCTACAAACTTTCATGGCTTCATCTCTTTCAGTTTTTGGGTTATGCTGGTTGAAGAGGAGGAAGAAGAAGAGGATGATGATGAACAAAACTCCCTATCATAGCCCCATACATCTATAATGCTAGGTACCATGTCAATCCCTATATACTAAGTACTACCGTACTTAGTGATAGCCCAGTCCATCAATTATACCGCGCATGCACAGTTAGCCGAGGGTTTGCACTTTAGTGCTTTTTCATATTGTGTTTCAACTAATTTTGAAGAAACCAACACCAAACGCACGTTAGTTAGTTGGTGGCGCACGAACCCCGCATCAGGACAATGCCCAGGCCTCTCAGAGGAGAGTGCATGCTGCCGTGTTTGCAGAAAATGCAGTGGAAGAGCTCCACCATCTACCGCAGTGACTTGAAATAAGAGGGAATGATCGCTTTGTGGCCGGGCACACCTCCGGAAAATCTGGAAATTAGCGCTCCAACTGGTTCCAGTTATTCTGGTGAGAAGATGACGGGTTTAAAATAGTGAAATCGTGTTCAAGCGAATTCTCGCGTAGAGAACTGAGGGCACGCATACAAGTCTTGGGGCATAATTATTATGCATAGCTACGTAGATATGGGCCAGTAGACTATTGCAAGTGTAATTTTGATATTAGAACATAACGAGTACATTAATTTTTCGCTGATAATTTTGCCATAGAACTCATCTTCACTCTTGCTCTGCATTCATCTTTGTTCCCTACCACAACTGCAGATACGTATAATAGCAATTGGATAACATCAGAAGTGCGTCAATAATTATACCATGTCTCTGCACAAATTTTTGTATTCCATTGCCATTGGAGTCGCTGTCATTGTGGGCTACCTGTCTATGGAGATGTTGCCACAAAGGTATGTGTTTTTTAGAACAACTGGATTTTACGTAGTAATTGTTTGACCTGGTACAAGAAAATGGGTCATATTAATTTTTGTTGGGGACAAGTCTCCCGCTATGTGTGAGCGCACTTTTTTTCGATTCGACTGCGCCCACGGACTATCCTCGAAGAGGTCTCTGGCAGCGTGCCCTACGTTTTCCTCAGCGATAAAGTCAGTGAAAAGAGCACAAAAACCTCATAACATCCAGATGTGTACATGAACAGTGCAGATCTTGAAAGAAACAAAGATGTAGGGATGGGGTTATGAATGACTAGCTATCTGTCTTTGTGATTACTTCTTCCACTCATTTTTTTATTTGGGCAAAGCCCCAACACCGCACCTCACACGCACGCGCACTCCTCCCACCGTGCATGCCGAGTTTGCAGCAAAATGTCGTTGTTCAGTGTCTACGGTGAAGTGCCCCATGATCTTATCTACCGACCATAGCAGGGCCGTAGGCATAGGGGCGGCCGGCCGCCCCCAAAAAAGACACCGAACTGGCCTCTCCCCATCGAGCGAGAGTATAAACGAGCGCCTTGCGTGAGAGCGCGCGCATGCGATCCGGCCGGAGCCACGCCCTCCCAGGGCCGCGAAGACCGACCGTGCGCCGGCGCTTACTAAAGATAATGGAAATAAGATTATTGGCTGCCCCAATACTGTAAGCATGGCTACGGGCCTGAATAGAGGTGTACTGCGCGAGAAAAACGATCGCTTGGTGTCCGTGCACACCTCCGTCGACTGTGGAGACGTTTAGTGAAAAAATCAGCGCGGTTCCGTTAAGGAGATATTCTGTTTACTGAAGAAGAAGATGATGATGACACGAACTCGTGTATGAGCGGATTCTCGCGTGCCAAACTGAAGGCACACAAGAGGTGCGGTGCTTTTATACAAAAGAGTGAGGTGTGGGCGAGAGATCTAGAAGATTCTAGAGTGAGTGATGTACCGCAAGGATATGATATAAGATCCTGTCCAGACTACAAAGTAAAAAGTTAACTTTAATCCTAGAGACATGAGGGTGCGAATAGTAAAGGATAGGAGATCATAGGATGATCATATAACCTATAAATAACATGTCCAGAGCTCCGCATGTTTTTTCTCTTGGCATCACATGGTCTCAGGTTACATGTGTCTAATATACTACATTCCTCCCCCACAAGATTAAAAGTCCATTGTTTGCATGTACCTGTAGGTTGTTTGCATTGACGTGTTGGATAACGTCGCGAGTTCTCGATGGACGAAGATGAAGTTTCTTGCGTTGCAGTTGCATCCGATTCGTGGGTGTCGGCATATGGTGTAGAGTCTACATATTGATCATCGGAACAATCGTGCTGGTTTAATTCAACGTCTGTTTCTGATGAAGATTCTCGTAGGTGATCTATGTGTCGTTTCCAATCTGGACCAATGCCAACATTAACAACGTATGACAGTGGGCCGGTTTTTTTTTGATGACTTTTCCGGGGACCCACTTTTGAGTGTTTGGGTGAAAGTCACGAACCATCGCTTGTTGGCCAATTTCGAATGATCAGGCTTTGGTGTGTTGGTTGTGTTGTGTACTCTGGGTCTCTTGTTTAGTACGAACGTCTGCAGCAAGGTCTGGTTGCAGTAGTGTGAGACGAGTACGTAATTCTCGGTTAAGCATGAGAGTGGCAGGGGTACGATTAGTTGTCGCATGGGGGGTAGAGCGATATTATGTAAGGAGGAAATCTGCCAATCTGTGTGACAGTGATCGACCATCCTTCTCACTTGCTCTGAGTGACAGCTTCAGTGTTTGATTAAAGCATTCTACGAGTCCATTTGAAGCCGGGTGGTACGGTGCACTGCGAATGTGTTTGATTTTGTTTCGTTTACAGAAATCCTCTGATGTGAATTGTGGTCCATTGTCAGAGACTATCTATTCTGGAATTCCATGTGTAGAGAAGAGTTTTCGAAGGTTAGTGATGGTTTTGCCTGTAGTTGTGTTTTTCATTTCAAAGACTTCGGGCCATTTCGAATATGCGTCTACCACCACCAGGAAGGACGTGCCTTGGAATGGGCCAGCAAAATATATGTGGATTCTCTGCCAAGGCTTTGCTGGCCATGTCCAGGGATGTAATGGTGCTTTTGGTGGTGCGTGTTTATGCTGTTGGCATTGCATACAGGCTTTTGCAATGTTTTCAACGTCTCGGTCCATGTCAGGCCACCAAACATAGCTTCGTGCCAGACTCTTCATTCGGGATGAGCCTGGGTGATCCCTGTGTAGTTCCTTTAGGATGGGGGATCGGAGTTTACTTTGAGCCACTACACGAATTCCCCATAAAACTTCAACAGTCAGCTCATGTTGACATTGTTGGTAAGGCTTCAGTGCAGACTTGACCTCTGCAGGCCACACAGTTTTTGTGTAGCGATATACCCTGGCCAGGATTGGGTCTTTCTTGCTCGCTGCACCAATATCAGCTGCTGTGACAGGTAGGGCTTCTATCTGGGATATGTTGAAGACTGATGTTGTGCGGGTGCTGATCTTGACTGTCGGGTCTTTATCATTGGATAAAGGTAGGCGGGAGAGACCATCTGCATTTGCATGCCTGTCAGTTGGCTTGAAGACAATGTCGTATGTATATGCAGACAACAGCACAGCCCAGCGTTGTAATCTGGCGGCAGCTAGGGATGGGACACCTGTTTTGAGTCCTAATATCGCTAATAAGGGCTTGTGGTCAGTGACCAGCTGAAATTTTCGGCCATAGAGGTAGCGATGGAATTTTTTCACACCGTAGATTAGCGATAGGGCCTCTTTCTCAAGTTGAGCATAATTTCGCTCACTTGTGGATAAGGAGTGTGATGCAAATGCTATAGGCTTTTCTGTTCCGTCGGGTAGAATGTGCGAAATAACTGCACCTATACCGTATGCTGAGGCATCTCCAGCCAGGGTCAGTGGTAGCTTGGGGTCATAGTGGACGAGTACTGCCGTTGAAAAAATGGCTTCCTTGGCCTTGCTGAAAGCTTTGTCGCACTGCTTTGTCCACTTCCAAGGCTTGCTTGGTCGTAGAAGGTCATTGAGGGGCTGTAACAGGGTGGAAAGGTGAGGGATAAACTTACGATAATAGTTCACCATTCCTAGGAATGCTCTGAGCTTTGATACATCTTGAGGCTGCGGTGCCTTCACCACTGCTGCTATCTTCTCCGGACGTGAATTCCTTCAGCGTCAATCTTGTGTCCGAGGTATTCTACTGAATGCTGCAACAAGGAGCATTTCTCCCTTTTCAGGCGAAAACTGTGCTCCTGTAGGTGGTCGGCATCGTCCGTACCTGTCACTAGAATATCGTCTAGGTAACAGATTACATGCGGAATACCTTGTAGGGTATATACTGATCGACGTTCAGTACTTGGTTCACGGTCACCTTGTAGTCCCCACAGATTCGGAATTTTCCGTTTTTCTTAGGGACCGTAACGATTGGTGCTGTGTGGAACCTTTTCGATAACTCCACTCGCTTCTAATTTGTCGAGCACCTCGTCAATTGTGGCTTTAATAGTGAATGGAATCGGACGTGGTGGGTGAAATTTCCATCTCGGTTGGGCGTCCTCTCGCAGATCGAGTGTCGCGCGGTATCCCGTGATTGTGCCGAGTTTGTTGGAAAATAAACCTCGAAATTCGTCTAGGAGACTTGTCGGTTCGTCCATAGAACTGTGCACAGCATGGATAGTCTTCCAATCTAGGCGAATGTATCGTAACAAATCGCGACCTATGAGGGCAGGTCCTTTTCCAGCAACAACTAAAAGCACAAGAGCTGCTTACTGTTGGCTGTAGGCGACATTGACATTTAGCTGTCCGATGACCGGGATTCGCTCATTGGTGTATGTCTTCAGCAGCACGTCCGATTTGCGGAGCTTGATGTCTGAAAAACTCGCTTTGTACGTCACGTTCGATATGACGGAGTACGCGGCTCCTGTGTCGACCTCCATCTCGAGCGCTTTACCTTCAACATCGAGGGTCACCATGATGGGCATAGCAGATGATGATTTGACCATATCTATGCTGGACGCGTCGGAATCGCTTTCGTCCGAGACGGCAGCAACGTACTTAGTGTTCTTGCCACTTGCGTTCTTCTTCTTTAGGCAGGCAGGCGCTATGCGTCCTTTTTGTGGCAGTAATTGCAAGTAGCATCAGCGAATCGGCAGTCCTTAGCTGCATGGTTCCGCCTACCGCATCGGTAGCAAGGTTTTCTCTGTGTCGTGTGTCCGCGGTTAGATTGGCAGGCGAAAATTTCTTCAGGGCTGCGTCGCAATCTTTCAGAGCCCTTAAATTTTGTTCGGCGAGCTCGTCGCGTTGGGCATGTTCGATTGCCTTAGCGAGCGATATTTCACCCTCGGCATCTGCCAGAAGACGTCGTCTGGCGCTGTCGCTACGGAGTCCACACACGAGACGATCCCGTAGCGCGTCGTCCAGGAAGGTGCCGAATTTGCACGTATAAGCCAGTCGACGAAGTTCAGCGACGTATTCCGCGACCGATTCCCCCGAGCGTTGATTTCGCTGGTTGAATGTATATCTTTCAGCAATGATGAGGGGTTTTGGCTCGTATATAGTGCTTCTTGAGGACATCCACTAGCGTCTTGTACGGCTTAGTTTGCGGAGTGTCTGGAGTCAGAAGACTGCGGAGAACCGCGTATATACGTTTTCGGTCCGATCGTGCTCACTAGGAACGAGCTGCGTTTAGCATAGGCAACATCATTGGCATCCAGGTACGCTTGGGGTCTCTCCAGATACGTTTCGGAGCCAGGTTGGAATTCCTGCATCGTTCCGAAGGCTGGGGTGGCCATTTTTTATCCTCGTCGCCAATTGTAGTATCTTAGTAATATTGATACTAACGACGAGCGTCACGTCTCAGAAGTTCAGCATCTTGCATGAGTATTTAACATCTTAGTGATAGATCATATACACAAGAGGTGCGGTGCTTTTACACAAAAGAGTGAGGCGTGGGCGAGAGATCTAGAAGATTCTAGAGTGAGTGATGTACTGCAAGGATATGATATAAGATCCTGTCCAGACTACAAAGTAAGAGGTTAACTTTAATCCTAGAGACATGAGGGTGCGAATAGTAAAGGATAGGAGATCATAGGATGATCATGTAACCTATAAATAACATGTGTCTAAAATATACTACGGACATTTGGGGTTATGTATAATTATAATTATAGCTAGCGATGGGCCAGAGAGTGTGTTTAGAAGGCCTAGCTGGGCGTCCTCGCCGAGTGTGGTAGCGTTTTGTATGCGGATCACCTGAGATTTCAACTGCCATCCCTACATAGAGCGTTATTGACGCTCTGATATACCATACCAGAAATACTGCCTGCTTTGCGGACATCCTGTAAAACGATTTGTATTCTGTACAAGTGATTTTTTTTCAATGGAGCTCGTAAAACGGCTTGTTTCTGTGCGCATCCATGGCAACGAACGGGCGGTGTAGTGTTTACTTCCCCATAAATGGGCGGAAGCACACATGGGCGGGTTATATGTTGCTCTAAAACAGAAGCTGAAGGTAGAACACCAGCAAAAAATTTCTTTTAATCAACAATCAATTTTTCATGAAGTGCCATCCTTTATATAAGACAAATTTCCACTTGCGCTCCATTTGCTAAATAATTCTGCACAAATCCTCTGAGTTAGCTAACAAGGGAGCCAGTTGGCATTCTTTCACATTAAGGGGCAGACAAAGTGCACATTCAACACAGGCACCGCAATCTGCTATACATATTTGATTGCCAAAATCTTTCTCAGGTTATGGGAAGTGGGAAGATCTCCTACTGTAGTAACTGAGTCTACAGATACTCTAGCTCTTCCCACGACAGGAGTGAACAGCAACGAGATTGCAGCTCTAACATCACGAAACAATATACGACTGCCTCTGACCCATCACATATCTGATTCACAGAACACTTCAGTTGATAGAGAAAGTGACCGTGCAGCTAAAGAAGCTCTTCGCATCGCTACCATTCCTCTTGGAAACAATACAGATGGTTTCAATACTTCAGGAAAAGACGTTAGGTCAGAGGTGTCCGTGTCTGACAGAAGTTTTGTCTTGGTTCTTACACAGCAAGAACAGCTCATGGCATCAGCCTTCAACTATTTGGTCCTGCAATGCTGGGTCCGAAGCCTGCACACTGTCTCCCCCATTAGTGCAGTAGAGCCTATGGTGCTAAGAAATGCCAGTATTTTGGGATTCTCTTTTGCCGATGACCATGCTCCAGTTTTGGCATCAGATGTGTTTGATATTGAGACATGGGACTCTCAGTGGCCAAAAGACCGGCCACCTTTAGCACCACTTACCACTAGAAAACACTTCATTGATGATATTAGAAAGTTTAAGAAGAAAGTAATAATTGTCCAGGTGCGTTTCTCATACAGCATAAATTGGCAGTGTCCATTCACATGGGACTTGAGTTCCCTTATGAAAGAATTTGAACAATACCCTCTTCTCAACATCGTCAGGAAAGTATGCATTAATTGCATTTCAAAAACCATTCCAGCTGCTAAATTTTACAAACTTGTTTTTAGTAACGTCGCAATTGAAAATACAGTACTTATATTTACGGATTGGAAAGGAATCGGTGGGTTAAGGGTTAATATAATTTCCCCGTGTCGTTCTGCAATGCCTCCATACAGCAGTCTCAAGCCAAGCTCCAGTGTTCTCAGAGACGCTGAGACTTTTGCCAAAAAGCACCTGGGAGGATTTGGGCAGTACTTGTCAGTGTCTGCCCGGTTTGAAAAGTTGGTTAAAGATTATGGGAAGCTTTCTATCACAGAAAAGAGAGAAGTAGTAATTGCGAGCATTAACGAATCATTGGCGAAGGTAAAAAGTCTCAAACAAAGGACTGGAGTTGACAATGTCTACCTAGCATATGACTACGGGCTCTTTGGAAGTGCGACATTCAGGCAACGAATGTTCTACAATTCCAGTAACGAGTTGGTAAAGTTTCAGGAAGATCTATACGATGGGAAAATCTCTCATATTGAGTACAAAAAGTCGTTATTTAACTTCAAATTCCAGAACCCGGGTTATGTTGCAATGGTCCAGATGACACTCTCTTCTAGAGGCAGGTGTTTGCTACTTGTGGGCTGGGGCCACTGCATTGACTATGTCAAATCTCTCTTCACTGCATCTCATGATGGTCCCCATCTCTGTATAGAATGTGCTCCTCACAGTCTGTGTTCAGGGAATTGGCATTGGCATTGGAAGTAGCTAATTGGTTCCCTGCGTCTTTTTATGAATGTTTAATAACTATGAATAATATTATTATTTCATACCTACCAACATGCAGATGAACTTTTGCTTGAGAAATGTGTAAAATTTGCCGTTCATATGGAGTGTATAAAATATTTGCTTGAAAATGTTGTGTGTCAATTCAAAATGCATAGGCATGGTGCATCACACGTTAGCACAAAAACGGATTTGGCAATTTTCTGGTGGAATAGGCAGCATTTTTGCTTGATTATCAAGCAAAAAGCGCCGGGGATGGTTGTTAGGTATGTTTTTTGTAGTCCCAAACAGGCGCTAGGAATATACGCTTTATTCGGCTGAGGGCAGACCAGTATTGGACGCTCGGCTATACACTAATTTTAGCGTTTTTGTATCTAATTTTAGCAATTTGTCTAACATTTGTGTTCAATTCAAAATGCATAGGCATGGTGCATCACACATTAGCACAAAAACGGATTTGGCAATTTTCTGGTGGAATAGGCAGCATTTTTGCTTGATTATCAAGGAAAAAGCGCCGGGGATGGTTGTTAGGTATGTTTTTTGTAGTCCCAACCAGGCGCTAGGAATATACGCTGTATTCGGCTGAGGGCAGACCAGTATTGGACGCTCGGCTATACACTAATTTTAGCGTTTTTGTATCTAATTTTAGCAATTTGTCTAACATTTGTGTTCAATTCAAAATGCATAGGCATGGTGCATCACACGTTAGCACAAAAACGGATTTGGCAATTTTCTGGTGGAATAGGCAGCATTTTTGCTTGACTATCAAGCAAAAAGCGCCGGGGATGGTTGTTAGGTATGTTTTTTGTAGTCCCAACCAGGCGCTAGGAATATACGCTGTATTCGGCTGAGGGCAGACCAGTATTGGACGCTCGGCTATACACTAATTTTAGCGTTTTTCTATACTAATTTTAGCGATTTGTCTAACATTGGAGTTGAAGGGCCACAGGGGGTTCCGGCATTACCAGGGAGGGACGGATCTGCAGGTCCTCCAGGCCGACGCGGTGATCGAGGCGCGGACGGGCTACCTGGTCGTGCAGTGTCTCCAGGACCGCCTGGACTACCGGGCGTTGAAGGCGGCGGCGGGGCAACTTACGTCCGATGGGGAAAGCCGACGTGTCCCTCGACCGCAGGAACCGAACTTGTTTACGCTGGCAGAGCTGTTGGTAGTCATTGGAGGAGCTCCGGGGGAAGTAGCGATATTCTTTGTTTACCGGAGGAACCCGAGTACGTGGAAGAATTCCAGTCTGGAGCGCAACACTACTCTACGCTGCACGGGGTGGAGTACGAGACGTTGGACGGCTCGCCGTTAGATGAAGCTCGTGACCACAACGTCCCGTGCGCCGTCTGTCACACCACCTCCCGTGCCAGCTCAATCATGATCCCCGCTCGCCGCTCGCGCCCTGCGACGTGGACAGAGGAGTACCAAGGATATCTTGTTTCCGGTTACGGGGTAGCGGGGGCCGACAATCCGCGAAATGCCTCGACGGAAATCCGGAATTCCTAAACGGTGAAGCAAGGAACTCAAACGGCGCCCTCTTCTTCCATGTTGAAGCTGCGTGCAACGGGATTCAGTGTCCACCCGATGATCCCCAGAAGCAGCTTACCTGTGTCCTGTGCACAAAATAGCATGATTTTGCATAGCCATTGTCCCAAAGCTGGGTTTTGTTTAATGTGCAAACCCTCGGTGAACTGCGCACGCTAATGATGGGCTGGGATATTACCGTTTACCCGCGGTCTCCCAGTAGTAGCTCGCGGAGAGTCTAACACGGGCTAGCTACGGTAGTAGATAGCATGCGGGAGTCGATACACGCCCTTCGCTGTGGCTTCTTGTGCCTCCAACGTATATACACAGAGTGAGCGCGTTGATTAATTGCGTACCGCTTATTATTTATTTATTTTAATTATTTTCAAGCTTTACAGTACACAATGCGATCTATAAAATAGGATGCTATAAATAAGAAATGAATGGTAATTATAAAGAAGTGTACTGAAGGAACACCAGTTTTAGGAGTACTGGTGTCCTAAGATGTAGTAACTGAAGAGAAACAGGTTGTTATTGATGTACTGGAACACTTAGCGCATGGGCAAAGAGAGTGAAAAGTGCATGGATTTGTACTCTGAAAGTTGGTTTTGAAGTGATTCCAAAAGAATTGTAAGAGATGATGCTTGATAGATTGGAGAGATAGTTCCAAGTCTATCGGAGGGAGAGAGTTCCATAGCCGAGGGAGTCTGTTAAAATAAAAGTGGGCTGCAGAAGATGTTTTAGAAGAGGAGTGATTCAAGTTAAGATAAGTAGTGGAGCGGGTATTACCTTTGGAAAAGTTCATGAAGGATTGAATTTGAAAAGCTTGTGATGTTTCAGGCTCCTTGAGACAGCAAATGAAAAATAGAATGTCATTCAGCTCAAGTTGCATCATAAGAGGGGGGATTGTCAGAGATATTAAGCGGTGATTGTAAGTTGATTGATAGTCATGGAGGATAAACTTGGACGCACGTCGTTGTATTCTTTCCAGAGCAACAATCTCTTTGATGAGGTAAGGTCTCCAGATTTGGGAAGCATAGTTTAGTCGAGAGCGCACGAGAAATGAATATAATCTTTTCTTGGCTGAAATACATAGGCCATTGGAGAAGGACCTCCGAATTAGGCCTAAAATTTTTGCCCGAGCAGTGATCATTGTCAGGTGATTGTCCCACTTCAGGTCACTAGATATCAGGATTCCTAGATCATGATAGCAATCAAGGACTTGAATTGGTGAGCTATTGATTGTGTAGTCATGGAGGACACGGGGGTGTTTAGGACAAAGACGGAGTAAAACACATTTGTTTTCGTTGAAGTGAAATTTCCACTGAAGGCTCCAGGAAAATAGATTAGGAAGGTCATCTTGCAAAGAGTGAGGGTCAGATTGAGAGGAGACTTTCTTGAGACATTTGGTATCATCTGCGTAAAGGAATATGTGGGAATGCCTGATGGACAGAGGAAGATGGGGTGGGCCACGCAACGCGGTCAGCGACAGTGCCAGTTTGTCGCTCTCAAACGCAGTCGTTTCAGGAAACTCGCCCTTTTAATTTCCTGGCTCGCGTATTTCTGAAGCCGCTTGTATCGCTAATGGGACGCATCGTAGCCTGTAGTGCCAGAATAAGCGTCGACAGACAGACAGACAGACTACCGAAACCCTCGCTGCGCACAATAATTATTTCTGCCTCGAACCTATGTCCAAGTGCTGCTTTACTTAAAAAAATATGTTTCTGCCTATTTTTACGTGCTGCTAATTTTCTTCACCCTTGAACCTTCTCACATGCTTCTGTATTTACTCTGTATGCTATGCAGTAATGTTTTTCGTGCCATTATAACAACTCGATGAACTGAGTCTTCTTCCAGGTTTCATCGGCTAGAAGCAAACTGCTGAATGTATGTCGTCAAGGTATGGAGTATATACCTCGCGGCACACAAGTTTGTCCATCGTAACCTTGCAGCTAGGAACTGCATGTGAGAGAAAACAATGTGTTGAACCTCCACAAACAGATCACTGCGTTATATTGGTCTGCAGGATTGATTCATTATGAATTGGTCAAAGTGACCGATTACTTTAGATTTAATACCTGGATTAAACCTAGTTATTATTCTAGGCCGAGGAGTCAGGCACAATAAGGACGATGGGCGCATGCGCACCTCGGCAACGTTTGGTATCATAGAGCGCATGCGCATGGAAGACCGTGTGGACAGTCAGACTTCGGTAAGCGGGCAGCTGGAAGCATAGCCAGACGAGTGAAAAATTATCAGCGGCGTCAGTCTATCTTATCGGCTGGAATCCAACGACCCAACGTATCTCGCCCGACGACAGTTTTCTCGGCACCCCGATGAGTCTCGACGGCGCACCGGATCCACCACCGCCCGATGCTGGTGACACAGATAGACCTGCGAGGGGCGATGGCGGTGCCGCAGAGGGGTCAGGGACAACGGCGACAGCGACGGAGACCGAAGGGCTGTTGGGCGCTGTCCGCGCTGTGGTGCAACAAGAACTGCGCGCAGCCCTCTCGAACGCGGGCACGGGGACTAGCGTCGACGATTCTGGCTGAACGTCTACAGCTGCACCCCCAGTCTCCGCGGAGCACAGTGGTGAGGATAGAAGCGCAGAGGCGTCGGTAGTGAAGACTCGCCTTGCCATGGCGCTATACCGAAGAGGGCCCCTGGCGGCGACCTCTGAGCCACGCGTAGGCGCCGGCACCTCGTTAACACCTGCTAGGGACGCCCGTATTGCACACCTGTCACAGCCGCCGTCAGTCTTTGACTCTGTCTCTATTGTCACAGCTACCTTGGGGACACTACCCCCTGCGTCAGCCCTGTCGGGTGTGACAGTCATGTCCAGTCGAGACAGGAGGACATGTCATTAATGCCATGCAGTCCTTTGCCACGTTACTTGGACTGGTAACTTCTCTGCCAGGCAACATTGGCAGTAGTCCGAACGCCGGTGTAGTCAAGCCGGGCTCAGCCGTGGTCCTTTCTTCGGCCCTCCCCCCGATAACGGCCAAGCTAGCAACGAAGATAACATCCGGACAGTTTGTTGCGATGAAGGAGCTGCTGGCTGACAACATGTCCCTGTGCCACCAACTGGAGTCCTTTCCTACACACCAGCACCTCTTTGCTGGTGCTGTAAGGCCCCGGCTACGGGAGATAGACTCTCCACTGACCTGGGTGTCGTGCTTCCTCGCCTACGCAGCAGTCAAAGCCACTGACATACAGACTCGAAACTTGCTGACTTACGACCGCCTAGGCATCCGGGAAGCACAGCGTCACAGTGGTCCAGGATGGCGGGAATACGATCGCATTTTCCGTCAACATGCAGCACTCAGCCCCAGTACAGTATGGCACGAGATTAACCCAAGTCTGCATGCCGCAACTGTGCTCTCATACCGGGCGGGCCCCGGCCGTGTCTGCAGCATTTGTACGAACCTGACCATGCCGCGGACTCTTGTGCCATGCAAATGCTCCAGTCAGCCCCACCGGCGTCGCCACATCGGCCTCAGCCCCTAGGGCGCATGAACACTGGAACATCAGGGGGTGGGCCAATGCGTCGGCCGGTCCGACAAGAGACACTGGAGCGCATCTGTGTGTCCTGGAACAAAGGACGGTGCAGCTTTCCAGCATGCAGCTTCCGGCATATCTGTGCCACGTGCAAGACAAGAGGGTCATAGGGCAAAGGACTGTGAGGACACTCCGGCTGACTCGGCCTATAAGCTCGCAGCACCTACGAGGAGCGGGACTGCTCCAAGTGATAGTTCGGCCTGAAACAGGCAGTCACTCTGGTCAAGTCAGGGGTGAACGGTCACAATGGACTAATAGAACAGCACCGGTAGCTATATATGGTGCATGCATACATTATAATGATGATTAACCAACTAATAATAATAAATCAAGCAAAGGCTTGTCAGCAGAGCATGGCCTAGGCCAGAGGCGGCCACCTGGGCAGCCAGCTATGCCCGTGTCGTACTTTGTCACAGGTATCAGCCCCCCTGGCAATGTGACGGAAGGCCACTACAAGTACATGGGGGACCTCCTGGCATTTGAAGCAACTGAAACAGACCAAGGACCCCAGTGCTTCGTGCCGGCGACTCCACTTATAGCCTCAGCCTGGCAACATGCCCTGAGAACACACCCAGACAGGAAGTTTGTGGACTACATATTGGGAGGCATCGGCAAGGGTGTCCACATTGGAGTAGACAGAGCAACAAGACTGCGGCCAGCACGGTGTGGGAACTTGCCATCAGTACATAGCCTCCCTACGTTGGTCGCCCAGCATATAAGGGAGGAGGGAGCAGCAGGCAGGCTACTCCCACCGCTCCTCGCACGTGGCTGCCAGGTCAGCCCGATAGGTCTCATCCCAAAGCCCCACCAGCCAGGCAAGTGGCGCCTCATTGTGGACCTGTCGTCACCCCATGGCTTCAGTGTCAACGATGCGATCTCGGTCGAGCACTGCCACATGCACTACACCTCGGTTTTGGAGGCATCCGCACTCATCCGGCAGCTGGGCAGGGGAGCCAGGCTAGCCAAGATCGACCTCCATCAGGCATACAGGATGGTGCCGGTACATGCAGACGACCACCACCTCCTGGGCATTAAGTATCAGAACGAGACGTTTGTGGACACAGACCCTCCCCTTTGGACTGCAGTCAGCCCCCAAAATCTTCTCGGCCTTTGCTGATGCACTGGCATGGATTCTGCATGCCAGGGGGGTAGTATGGCAGCTGCACTATCTGGATGACTTTTTGTTCTTGGGGGCACCAACTGACAACGCATGCGGGAGGGCCCTGGATGTAGCGCTGGACACGTGCGGCGAGATGGGAGTACCAGTGGCGGCTCACAAAACAGAGGGCCCAGCATCCCAGCTGGGAATTCTAGTTGACACTGTAACCATGAGCCTGAGCCTGCCTGGCGATAAGCTGACCCGCATATTGGGACTGGTCCTTTCCTGGCGGAGCAAGAAGACAGCATCTAAGCGGGAGCTGCAATCCCACCTCAGCCATGCAGCAATGGTGGTGCTGCCAGGCCGCACATTCTTGTGACGCATGATAGACCTCATGAAGGTGGCGAAACACCCCAGTCACCATGTGAGACTGACAGCGGGCTTCAAGTCAGATCTGCAGTGGTGGGCGTCCTTCCTGCCTAGGTGGAATGGACGGTCCATAATGCCCCCGGAGGCTCCATCACATGTAGTCACCTCTGACGCCTCGGGGTCATGGGGCTGTGGAGCAGTGACGGACAGCGGACAGTGGTCCCAGGTTCATTGGCCAGAATCATGGGGAAAAAATAACCATAGCCGCCAAGGAAATGGTGCCAGTCGTCATCGGCATAGCGATCTGGGGCGCGCAGTGGACTAAGTGCGGAGTGCTGGTCCGATCAGACAACATGGCTGTCGTCCACTGTTTCACGTCAGGAACAGCTAGCGATCCCCTCCTAATGCACCTCCTACGCTGCTTGCACTTTGCCACCGCTACACACCAGATTTACATTGTGGCTAGGCATGTGCCTGGTGTACTTAACACGGCAGCGGACGCCCTGTCTCGCAACTCCATGACATCATTTTTTAATGTCACCCCACAGGCCAGCGCCCAGACTGGACGTCACCCAATTGGACGAAAGTGTTTCTTTCTTCTTGGGAGAGGCATTAGCCCCAGCGACCATACAGGTCAGGGCAATCCAGATATCGGCGTTTCTGTCAAGAGGCAGGTCTGCAGCCTCTGCCGTTGACCGAACAAGTACTCTGCATGTTTGTCACCCACCTGGGTGCGGAATCGCTGGCGTATCAGACACTCAATTGCTATCTCTCAGCCATCCGTCATCTCAGCATCATGGCAGGACAGGGCGACCCCTTTGGACCAGGGAAATTCCCGGTGCTGCAGTATGTCCTCAGGGGAGTAAGGCGGAATCCCAAGCCAGCAAAACCACGCCTGCCCATAACCCCGGAGATCCTCCACCACCTCAAGAACCAATGGGCGCCCCATGCCAGGGAGACAGACTACAAGATGCTATGGGCAGCCTGTTGTGTGGTTTTTTTTGGGTTCTTGAGGGCAGGGGAGTTCACAACAAAGCCTCACCGCAGGACGTGGCTGTTGATGACCGTGAGCACCCAACACTGATACGCATACACATAAAGAGTAGTAAGACCGACCCATTCCGACACGGGGTGGATATATATCTGGGACGAACTGGCAAGGACCTCTATCCAGTTGGTGCACTGTTGGCATTTATGGCAGTTCGTCCGGCAAGGCAGGGGCCTTTATTTGTGTATACAGATGGCACACCACTGACGAGAGACAGGCTAGTCGAGACAGTCCATCGCACACTTCAGCAAGCGGGATATTCGGGACACAGTTTCCGTATCGGAGCCGCCACCGCGGTGGCACATGCAGGCCTAGAGGACTCTGTGGTCAAGATGCTGGGGAGGTGGGAGTCCTCAGCATATCAGCGGTACATCAAGACCCCCTGAGAAACGTTAGCGGCCTTCTCCTCACGCCTAGTGTTACTCGGTGTGTGGCAGTGATCGCCCTATGTGGCAGGGCTGTATGTTGTTGTTTAATGAGTGTTGTGGTTGTGTGGGTGAGAGATATAATACAAATGGGGAGAGAGTTGTGTGGGATGGACAAGTTGTGTGCTCAACCCAACCACAAGCCGCGATTTGCAAGTGGCCTGAGGCAATATGTGTCAATTATCCCTCATGGTCTAAGGTGCCCCAGCTAATAAGTGGTCAGGGCAAGCGGGACTAATTAACCAGCAAATAGGTCAGGCATGCTGACCAAGGGGTTGAGTCGCGGCTTGGCTGTCCAGGCCACATGCTTACGCCCACAACTACTCCTCTGCTCTGAGAAGCAGTTAACGGAGAGGGACCAGGGTGTCAGGTGGTGGTAAGTAATCGGGCAGGTCAACATGTACATCAGTGCATAGAAGGAAGATTAACTGAGGACATTGTGTATGGTTCCAGCTGCAATAAGGAGAAAGGAGAGGGTGGGAGTGAGGAGAAGGCACCCATCAGGTGGATGGCTCCTGAGAGCATAGAAAACGACATCTACACTGAGTCCAATGATGTGGTTAGTTAAGACTTATAATATGTGACTGTGTATGCAGAAACCATTTGGCTTTTGGTTCGTGTGTACATATTATTATGGGCCTGTACTGCAAATATTTGGCACTTCGTGAGCTTAAGATTTTAACATAAGAAAGTATTCGTGCTAGATCTGTATTATATACAAAGAACTGGCCTATAGATATGAACTAAAATTACTATAACTGTCCTGAGTCGTGGTGACTTGTCTCCAGTGGTCATTTGGAGTGACGGTGTGGGAGATCTTCACTTGTGGGAGGATCCCATTCACTGGTATTCCAGCCATGGGTCTCCTGAAGGAACTGCAGAGAGGACAGAGACTGGAGAGACCTAACAATGAGGCCTGCAGTGTTGAAATGTGAGGGACATTCCAGAGCCACTTTAGGAAGTTGGCTCAGAGAATCTGGTGTGTATAGCTTCATGCCCAAGAGGAAGTTAAAATGTCCGTGTGTACTTCTGTTCATGTTTTAATACTAGGAATATTGTGTCACAGGATTGTGTGGGGAGAGTTGTCATGTAATGTATCCTGTGTGCCCCACTCATGTGTATGTGTATGTGTTCTTCCTGGTAGCTGAGTGCTCTGCCTGTGTTGTGGGTTTTTGAATCCCACCTATAGCCATGGTAGCTATTTTTTCCATTAATAAAGAGTTTAGTTGAGTTGTTTGCTTTGCCTTGTGACCAGTTGATGATTGCATGATTGTTTATGAGAGTGTGTAATGTGTATGCATGTTTGAGCTGTAATGGGTACATTGTTTGGTTCGTCTGTGTTCTCATTCTTAGCACAGCTAACTCAATAGCTAGCCCCAACTACTCAGATACGAGATTATGATGTTGTGTCTGTCGCTGGAACCTCGCGTTCGCCCAAAGTTCGTTGTGAGGTTGAGTTGTCTCTTACAGAGGGACTCTGGCTACCCTCAGCTATCTGACCACTTCCGCTGCTGGAAACAGAGTCGTCCTCGACAGTTTACAGTGACTTTTGTACCAACTCTGTAGTGAATGACTTTAGTTGCATTATATTATGAAGCATTCAAGTGTCCACGTAGCTAGCATCATGGCTCAAAGGATGGGTAGTAGTTTTTGTTAGAGATATCCACCGACTAGATAATGCAGGCGTTAATTTGTGTACCTGTCACACATTGTGGTAGTAAGAAGAATAGGAACTGAAAAGCACCAAAGTGCAAACCCTCGGCGAAATGCGCATGCGCGATACCTCTAATTGATGGGCTTGGCCTATTAGTCCGCGTTTATACCCGTGATCTCCCGCTAGTAGCTCTCTGACACGGGCTAGCTACAGTAGCATGCGGGAGTCGATACACGCCCTTCGTTGTGACTTCTTGTGCCTCCTAGGTACACAGAGCAAGCGGATGAGGTCGAGGTAAGCTAGTGCTAATTAGCAATTGGCTTGTTCACTCGCCATAACTTCTGAACGCGGCACTTTTACGAAAATCGCCATTTTAAAATCAAGCCAGTGTAGCGCTGAACGCATTGGTGTCGCTATTTTTGGTGGCAGAAAAAGTGGTAACAGAGACAGGAGAGACCCGGACCAGTAACTTCTGACGCGCCTTCTGCTTTTCTCTTGCAAAACATGTTGGCAAAATTTACACACTTTCTGCCTTAGTGGTACAACAGTTTCACACTGTGGGAATACCTTTCTTGGAGGCATGATAGTAAAATAGAAACTGACAGAAATGGAGAACGTCTTTTCACCGAACGAGAAACAAAATGGCCGCTTTCCACCACGTGGTCGAACATAATGCGCACGCGCATTTTCCGCAGCGATAAAAATGGCCGACTACACATTAGCCGTACAATGGTGGAAGCGCTCTATCTTTGCAACAGAGCGTTTTCAGGGAAAACCGTTCGAAATTTCCGACCCGTTCAGTAGGTGGTAGCTATCCTTTGTGAGACGAATGAACACTCGAGAAGTGAGATGACGAGTAACAGACAGATACACAGACAGACCAGACTACAGCAACCCCCGCTGCGTATGAGCGCCAAGGGTTAAAAAACTGCCGTCGTGGTCGCGGAATTGCTCTTTTTTTGGGGAGAAATACGCAATACAAAAACAAACACAAAACAAACAAAACGACAAACAGATTATGATGCTGTCAATAGAAGGGGGGGGGGCAATAGGGAATCGATATGGAGCCAAAGAGCGGCATTCCCACGCCAGAGAGAAAAAGAGCAGCGCTGGAAGTGGTGACAAATTGAGTCCGCGGGAGAGACCCCTTAACGCTGGCCTAGGAGGCGACCAATTCTGGACAGCGAGGTGATTGTGGTCTCAATCATGCCGCCCAGGACCTCAAAAGCAAGGGGGATGAAAGAGACCCCAACAGCGCGGCAAACCGATTTCCGGGTACGCGTAATTTAACTTCCGCATGAAATTAAAATCTTCCTTATACGGAAAACCGCGTACGTTTACTGTAAACCGCCTCGTGGGTGTAGTGTAACCTAGTATATAGCTGTTTCCTGTTTTTACTCTCATTTCTGTTTGTCTGGGAGCGGGCTAGTTGTTATTAACTTCCTTGTTCTACAAGTTCTATGTAGCTGGTTATCTACAGCTGCAGTATAAAGAAGTGTGCTTGAAAATGGTCAAGTTGCTACTTCTCGTCGCTGTGTTCGCTATTATACTAGTGGAAGCTGCATCACTGCATGCAGACCGTGTTGGAAAGCGGCAGGCACCACCGGGACCTCCTGGCCCAGTCGGTCTCCCCGGTGCTCAAGGCCAACCTGGGCCTTCCGGACCTGCAGGACCTCCTGGGGAAAAAGGAGAGAAAGGACAACCTGGCCCAACGGGGCCCACAGGGGTACCGGGAGAGAGCGGAGTACCGGGTGATCGAGGTCCGGTTGGACCTGCTGGACCGCCTGGACCCCCCCGGAGCACAACCAGTTCAACTTCCCAATGGATCCATCGTCGTTGCTGGCCCTCAGGGCGCACCCGGTGCACCAGGACCAGCCGGATTTCCAGGAGTTGAAGGGCGACAGGGGGCTCAGGGATTGCCAGGGAGGGACGGATCTGCAGGTCATCCAGGCCCACCCGGTGAGCCAGGAAGGGACGGGATTCCTGGAGATCCGGGAACTCAACGATTACCAGGGATTGGGGGAGGCGGCGGAGCAACTTACGTCCGATGGGGAAAGCCGACGTGTCTCTCTACCGCTGGAACCGAACTTGTTTACGCTGGCAGAGCTGTTGGTAGTCATTGGAGGATCTCCGGGGGAACTAGCGATATTCTTTGTTTACCCGAGGAACCCGAGTACGATGAAAAGTTCCAGTCTGGGGCACAACGCTACTCTACGCTGCACGGGGTCGAGTACCAGACCTTCGACGGCTCGCCGCTAGACGAGGCTCGTGATCACAACGCCCCGTGCGCCGTCTGTCACGCTACCTCCCGTGCCAGCTCGATCATGATCCCCGCTCGCCGCTCGTGCCCTACGACGTGGACAGAGGAGTATGACGGATATCTTGTGTCCGGCTACGGGGGTAGCGGGGGCCGACAATCCGCGAACTGCCTCGATAGAAATCCGGAGTTCCTAAACGGTGAAGCAAGGAACTCTAACGGCGCCCTCTTCTTCCATGTGGAAGCTGTGTGCAACGGGATTCGGTGTCCACCCTATGATCCCGAGAAGGAACTTACCTGTGTAGTGTGCACGAAATAGCATGATTTTGCTATTATTTTGTCCCGAAGCAGGGTTTTCTCAATAACAGTTTAGAAGGTTCGTAACGGAGCGCGGGCGCACAGCTTGTTTTTCATTAGCACATTATTATAATAAATTATTTTTTGTGGGAGAGAAAACCATTGCGCCTCATGAAAAACGAGGGTTACAACAACATACCCACGCCGAGACAGAAGGTGTTTCAGTGAGCGCATGAAATAATAATAGTGCTCCTCGTCCGTCAGTTACATTACATGCTAGCCTCGGAACTCAGGCCTTCTTCCACGTTCGTTGGACTCGGTGAAGTAGGCCTACGCGCGAGCATGCGCGAAATAATTTTGCGTGGGCGATCTCCGCGAACGGGAGAAGTCGCCCGTTCCGAGGCTACCGCTCCCTCGCGCCAATGATGACGGCGGCAGTGGATGTCTCTGACTGGATCGCAACTCCTGCTACTTTAGACGATAAAAAGTGCGGGGAGAGAGCAGTGTTTGCAAGTGGTAACTCCATCGTCCAACGACGAGAATACGAAGACAACCCCAACCTTGTGCCCAACGATTGCGTCTGCTACACGTCTCATTCCTTGCCCGTGGGGCAGCTTTGACAGACCACAATCCTGGACAAGAGTTGGAGGTGGAGAGATCACGGAGGACTGGTGAGCGAAATGTAGTGTAGCTATATTAGGGCGTTTGGAGGGGTGTGACTTTACTCAATCAAACAAGTGTCATAATAGTTATGGTAGATAATACCATACATAGGAAAATCGTATAGCTACACTTTCACAATCTGCCTTTTAATCCTGTACCTGCTAATCTACAGTGGACACTATAGGGCCAGCAAATTTGTTCTTTGTAGAGATGTTGTCCATGACATTCTCCAAGGGTCTCTCATCAAACGTTCGATTATACCTAGGAGTGTCATTGAGCATTTCCTCTCATGTCTATTGTCATAATACAACTGTGTTAAAAGGTGCAAATCAAGAAAATGGTTGGACACCAGTAGTACCACAATTCCATTCCTAACACTGTCAACATTCCAAGAAGCCTGTAAGTGGGAGATTCACTATTCACAGTTTACGGCACCACATGGCACTCTCTGCAAATATGGTTATGGTTCACTTGAGAGTATCTACACTACAGCCCTTCCTGTTTATAACTCTCTTTCAGTCACGAAATTAGCTTTTGTGCCCGATTGGCCTTTTCAGGCGATTCTGCCTGAAGTGACACATTTTTTGATACCAGGCACATGCAAACTTTCTCCCTGCCGATTTACATTGTATCAGCCGGGTATAAATATATGACATATAATAATATTATCTTACTCAATCCGAAAGTTCTCTGGAGGATGTTTAATGGGTGGTTTATACGAGATAGCCGCCCGCCTACTTGGTCAAAGTCCACAAATGTGTATTGCTGCCGTTTCTAGATGTGTGTAAATTTACAATATGGACATGCGGTTAGTACACGTGAGCATAATGACGTTTAGCCCCAAAGGGGTCACAATGTAAATTTTCTGATTGAGATGGATAAAACCAACATATGTTCCTTTTCTAACAGGGTGTTGGAGTGACTGCCGCTATACCTGATGAGCTGTCTTGCAGTCTATTTGGCCCTTCAACTGGAGCACAGGACTGGGAATATATAAAATCATCACTGTATCACAACAGGAAGGAATTGGTTTTCACTCTTCCTGATCTCATGGGTCTCAATATCAACCAAAAGGTCGGACTTCTACTGTCCCCTGACGGAGACCTTCACGTCTACCTCGATGGACAGCACATCATGAAGGCAGCGTCTGGTCTCCCAGTGGACAAGCCATTGTGGGGACTAGTGAATGTGTATGCCAACTGTTCCAAGATGAAATCCGAGCTACTGAGCGGTGAGTGAGATAATGGTGTTGTAGTTGTCTTGTTAGTTGTGCCCTTTGCCTTTCACCCTCGTAGTAATTCAAACATGCAAGCCATATGTATGTGTCGTCTGTTATCATTCTGTTCTGTACTCTGTGTACAAGTGAGTGCGTGGTAATCAGGGAGCATATTATTTAAACCTTCGTAACGTTACGTTTTTCCTTGCCCTTCCAGTAGGAGAGACACAAGCGCCTTATTTCACTTGTACACTTATGAAGAGGTGTCGTACCTTTAAAATTAGGGTGGAAATAGAGTAATTTCTTGTGCAAACTTGGGGGTAGTAATTGCAATAAATGGGAGAGCCAAAGGGGGATTCATGTGACAGTCACATGATCTGAGTGTGTACATACCTGCATAGTTCTGATGATGGTGATACAGTAAATATGTTCGAGTGCGAATAGAGCCCCTAGACGTAGGGGTTGGGCGAAGATGACTGCTGAATGTAAGTGCCTTCTAATTAATGACCTACACCTTCGTGGAGTAATGCCAATGCCATCTAATCATCTCCGTATAAAGCAGCATTACATGATAATGTGAATCGTGCCCATTAGTTTCTCCACTACTGTACCGGGTAAACGCACCTTCAGTGTAGTAAAGCACCCTTAGCAAGTCCAGACAACGTAGTGTCTTTCCCCAGTGTTGGCTTTATCATTGCAACGAAAAGGCAAGTGTTGGGAGCAGATGACCTTATAGCCTGAATACAGGGGCGTAGGAAAGTGTTTTGCATTGGGGGGGTGGGTTGTCTCTTGGAAGACGTGTGCCTGGCCGGCGCGGCCCACTCGTCGGCACGCAACGCGCTAATACCCTCGCGGAGCCACGCCTCCCGCCCGCGAGGCTGTACGTGTATGTACGTACATATTATTATACGTGTGTGTAGAGTAGGCCACGGATGATCGGACTACATATATCTTCGGACGCTCTCCTGAACCTTTAGCAATGAGATTTCAATTATTCTAACATGCAATCAGTACTACACGAAAAGTATTATACCAGCTTGCAAAACAAGAATGTCCCGCGATGTACACTCGACGTGTTACAAAGCGGCAAAAATCGTATATATTCGGACACAGGTATATACGGATTTGGAAATCAAATGCCAGACCTCAGGAGAACAGAGTCAACGTCGGTGGGAAGGTACCCCACCAGGAATGCTAGGTCTGCACTTGCGAGCACGACCTGTCCTGCAAAGAATACCCTGGGTTAAAAGGTGCCGCGCATGCGCAATACGGCAGAGCCGCTCGGACAGATGGTAGCAAGACGTCCAGGCTTCACAGAGGAAAAATCCTAGCGAATCAACGCCAATATGCGGCTCAGAGTGGGAAACAAAGCAGTTTGATAAGTTTTCTTCCGAAAACTGCTATTGCACATGGTGGACCACCCCTCTTTTACATTGGCCATCTCACCGACGAGGGAAGGGAGTTCCAAAGATCAGTCCTAACACAGAATATCCGTATTTTTTTTAACAGCTATGCATGCAAAGCCCCTGCCTCCCCTGGACTGACGAGCAGTTTCACCCCATATTCGGCGATACTAGATACACAAGTGCCGACACAGTGTAATGTGAGGGCCAAGACAATCCCTTAAACCTCCAGTCACGGTTTTAAAGTTGAGAAATGCACATCAGCAAAGTTCTGAAATCCCAACAAGAATGAGTGAATAATGCAGAACAAGAATGAGTGCATAATGAAGGGACAAAAGGGCCAAAAATGAGTGAATAATGAAGCGGGCAAAACATTTGCATAAGAACAGACAAAAGTTTCTCAGAATACTCCACTACAAGCAGGAGGAGCACACAAAATGATAGTCATCCAACATAGCCACACTTGGTCTAACTCTAACACAACAGCAGTGATACCAACTCCCACAGCAAACCCACACATATGCATTCTTGTGGTGGCACTCTCCCAATGAACAGAGAGATGTTGAAGAACCAACTACAGAGAGTTGTATAACATACAGAAAGTATAGTGTGTACCTGCTACCTCAGAACCACATCAACTTGTCAGGCTTCCACCCTTTACCGCCTTTCCTGTAAAACAACAAACTTGACTAAACAACATAAATATTATACTATGATAATTTAAACCAGAGACAAAATATAAATCTCTAATTTCAACCATACACTTTACCCACACGCATAACTAGAAACAAACAGGCACAACACTCACCTTCCACTCAGCCGTCTCGCTGGACTCTGCCTGCCTTTTTCCCTACACAATTCCAAAACACAATCACATAGGTCTCAACCTTCAAGAAGGAGTAAGTGGGACTATGAATATTAATAATCGGGACATCTTGCTCAATATCGGGACATACGCGCGAACAACCAAGTGCGCATGCGCGTATAGTTCAGTTCAGGACCCGCCCACTAGTATTTACCCGCGATCGCTCGCCAGTTACGAGTCTATGCTTGAAGCAACAGTACACTGACATATACGCAGTGCTAAAGAGTACCGAGTACCAGAGTCCAGTTGTCCATGATTCGTTGCTCTGCTGCAAAACGTTATTTTTCTTCACTACCGCGCAAGTACGTCCGAGAAATCGGGACAAGCAAGGTGATGGGCGGGACAAGGCTGTGAAAATCGGTACTGTCCCGCCTAAATCGGGACAGTCGAGACCTATGCAATCAAATGCCAGTCCAATATGGCACCATATTCACCGTGTGTCTCGGCAAGTTCCACCGACTGTGCCTCTGTAAGCTCCGCCGACTGCTGGCCAATCGGTTTTCTCGTTCTCCCTGCGGCAAAAACAACGGACAATTCCCAATTTAAACCCTGCACTACACCCACACGCATAACTAGAAACAAACAGGCACAACACTCACCTTCCACTTGGCTATCTCTTGAGGAAGGTCGGGCTCTTCCTTCTTCCACCCCTACAAATTTTAACATTGTAAGCATCGCAAAAGGCAGTTGGTCTAAATATTATCCTTGGCTCGGAGTAGAATAGCAGGGGGGATGATACGTGAGGGCCGCCGCTACGGAAGCCATCTCTACGCTGTTTTACTTAGTACACTGTTGCTAATGGATACCCGTGGCACGTTGTTATTTCCGTATTTTTACTCCGCGGAATTTTACCGTCCGTGCGCGGTTGACCGCACGGGGAAGGAGCGGCGGCAAAGACGCCACAGCGTCCTCCACGAAGGTCGCAGAGAGACCCTGCTTTTGCCAAACGGTAGGTAAATGATAATACTTTCCCATTCTGGACTCGTTACTGATTCCATAAATGCTGACTTGGCCGTGAATTTTGCCCATTTTCTCCCGCATTGTTATCCGACAACGAATGGTCCCTTTTCCCGTAGCGGGTCACATTATATATATAGAAAAATCCCGCTCCAAAGAACGACTAGGCTGGCTCGCTCCCGCTCGCCAATAACTGCACTCCAGCTGATGGAAGAGGTCGAGGTTCAACAATAAGTAGTAGGCGAATGCATGGCATTTTTGGCGAGCGGGAGCGAGCACACAATGACTGTATCTGCATTAGCCATCATAGCCTATTTACAACTTGAACCTTAGAACCACGAAGATTGGAAAGAGGTATATACAGCCTCTGTCAGGTATCGAAGAGCGCAGCGAATGCCAGCGAATAGACGAGGGTTCTTTCGCTGGCTAGATTTCGCATCGATATGACAGCTACGTATATAGGCAGCGTGTAAAAATTAAAATAAGCGCGTTCCCTACAAGCGACGCTGATACAGACGAGCCTCTCTCTGCTCAGGAGTCTCACGGGCACAATGTTCTCTTTCCCTCTCTCTTCGACGACGAAGGGCATCTTCTCTATAATTATAGACTGATCCATAAATGCGAGAGTATACGGAGCTATGTACACACACGCTTATATATCCTAAAGAAGCGCGTAATCCTGGAGCATGCGCAGTTGGACGACGTACGGTCGTGGCGATTTTTTTTTTTTTTTTTTTTTTTTTGGATTTGTGGAAAAAAATAAAACAAATGAAAAACAAAACAAAACAAACGAAACAACAAACAGATTAATTCGTGGCGAGCGGGAGCGAGCTGGCGCGGATTATTTACGACGTCGTCCGTCGTCCAACTGCACACGCTCCAGGATTACGCGCTTCTTTTTATCCGAAACTTGCTGCCTGCCCTATATAGCCTGTGCGTTATACATGTCCGGGGAAGATGCCCTTCGTCGTCGAAGAGAGTGGGAAAGAGAACATCGTGCCCGTGAGACTCCTGAGTCAGAGAGGCTGGTTTGTATCAGCGTCTCTCTCGAGTTTGTATCAGAGTCTCTCTTCGATACCTGACCGAGGCTGTCTATACCTCCTTCCAATCGTCGTGATTCTAAGGTTCAAGTTGTAGGAATGGCTCGTGCAGATGAGTCATTGTGTGCTCGCTCCCGCTCGCCAAAAACCGCCTACTAGTATAGGAAAATTCAGCGCCGTTCGTACCACTAGGTTAGTTCGCTCCCGCTCGCCAATTTAGCATGGCTAAAATGTATAGTAAATTTCTTTTGTTAAACCTCTCAGTCATCTCCCCTAATAATGACTGTGATCATGATAAACAGCAGTCGGCACCACAGATGAGGGGTTTACTGAGCGGTATATTAGATAATGACACATAGTGAAACAAACACCAGCTGTACTGTAGCTCTCAGAATCACGATCAGATATTTACTTGCGCACGGAGTAAAAAAGGAAAACAAATTCATGTAGCTACAGGCATATCACACACTAATGTAATTTTCATGTCTGACCAGAGCCTACCATGTCAAAAAAGATGATACAAAAACCAAGGAGTGATACAAAAAATTGTCCACAATAATTTCCAAAAACATTATATACATTGTCCATTATACAGAATGCATCAAGATCTTAGTTGGTCCAGTGCCATCTGTATCTGGACGGCCATAAGTGAAAGTTCGCAGTCTCTCAGAGTTGCTATGAGGCTCTCCCACGACACCTCCACCCCCTTCCCTGCCAGCCACTCCCTCAGAACCTCCATTGTGATTCTCTCTGGATCCCCGCGACAACACTCACTGATATTAGCCACTTTGTCTCCAAAGTCGTCTTGGAGTAGAAGCGTACCGAATGTGAGGAACTTGGGTCCAACTCGAGAGGGCAGTCTTATCTTGACAAGTTCTGTCAGTGTAGGCCTTTCACCCGAGACTGCAAGAAGCAACAATTCATTCACTAAAATCATATACCTACAAGCCTTTACTTGAAATTGAACGTTGATATCTATCAACATACCTGATAAGGGAGGCACCGCTGTGGACTTTTTCTTGGAGTCTGACTTGTTCTCTATATAATGAATAAATAGCTAAATGCAAGTTCGTTTTTACCCCTGCAAAGAAATAGGCACTACTAGCTATTATAATGAAAAGCACTGAAGTGCAAACCCTCGGCGCATTGTGAAGGTCACGCGTAAGTAAACGCATGCGCGGTACCACTAATTCATGGGCTGGGTTTAGTTTTAGCTGTTACTCGTGGTCTCTTGCCAGCTCCCGCAGAGTCTGAGCAGGCTAACTACACTACTAGACAGCATGCGAGAGGCGATACACGCCCTGCGTTGCATCTTCTGTTGCCTCCGAGGCACACGGACCGGACCAGACCGTGGTAAGCCGTCCCGTCCGTTGTGCATTTGCATATCATGGCTTTTTCGCGCTCTAGCTTTGCAACGGAGCAGTTTCAGAGAAATCTGCACAAAAGTTCTGGAGGCATGTTAGCCAGGGAGAATCGTAACTCACGGCACACACGAACGCCTTTCTCTTACGTAGAATGCACATGCTCGTTTCCGCGAGTAAAAAATGGCCGATGGAATGTACGCGTACTATGCTGGTAACGCTCAAATATCTGCAACAGAGCATTTTCAGAGAAAACCGTTCAATTAAACTAATTCCGTTTATTACGTCGTATCGTTTGTGGGACGAATATGCCATCGAGAAGTGAGTTGAAGCATGGACAGACCGACAAACCAAACTACTGTAACCCTCGCTGCGCATGCGCGCCGAGGGTTAATTATTCACATACTCATAGATAATCATCTTACCATCCAGCCACATATTCTGGTCAGGAGTGAGAGGAAGAGCCACATAGTCTGGACTGAGGGAGCATGTGAGAAAACTGTGAGTGTTGTGGGGAATGTAGCCATCCTTCATGGCTTCTCTCAAGATTTCTGTTGGATCTGAAATGTAGGAGTTAAAGGTATACTTAGCCTAAAGTTACGCAGAATTATTAACCCTCGGCGCACATGCGCAGCGAGGGTTACAGTAGTTGGTTTGTCTGCCTGTGTGTCTGTGTATCTGTGGGTCGACGCTTATTCTGGCACTACAGCCTACGAGGAGGCCTATTAGTGATACGAGCTGCTTCAGAACTATGCGAGCCTGAAAAAGAATTAGGGGATTTTCCTGAAATGAATGCGTTCGAGAGATATGCCGTGAAAACAAGCGAAAAAGCCAATGTGCATAATCGCACTGGGCTTACTGCGACCTGATCCGCTCACTCTGTGTACCTTGGGGGAAGTCACAACGAATGGCATGCTATCTACTACTAGCTAGACTGTGTCAGACTCTCCGCTAGCTAATAGCAGGATACCACAAGTAAAAGCATACAAATAGCCCAGTCCATCGATTAGGAGTATTGCACATGCGCAGTTAGCTGAGGGTTTTCACTTTTGTTCTTCAAGCAAGTATGCAAATAATGTAGCAATTGATGGTCTGTTTTCTTAGGCCTAAAACACCATAATGTAGTTCAACACCATACATGTGTTTTTGTTCGCATCTGTAATAATAATTACAAAATAATATAATTAATGCACTGAAGTGCACACCGTTGGCGCACTACGCACACGTAAACACATGCGCGGTACCACTAATTGATGGGCTGGGTTATACCGCCGTACTCGTGGTGGTCTCTTGCATGCTCGTGGAGAGTGAGACAGTACTTGATAGCATGCGAAGGCAATACACGCCCCTTACATCTGGGAAATCCGCCGTAACTCCGCTACACTACGGTCAAAACCAGATGTTCAAAGCGCGTAGGTTCCGTAGAACCAGCCTGTGTTTACGTCTGACGCTCGCTAACAAAGTTACATGTATGTCCCATATAAAAAGTATGGACATTCCAGTGGCCACAAGGAATGCAATCGAGCCACACTACTGTTACGTATGCACAATACCCAAGTCATGGTGTGCTGCGAGCGGGCTCTGTTTAAACTATCTACCTAACTATCAGAGTTAAAAATAAGGTTTATAATTTGTTTGGACATCATGTCCAACCAAAGCAAATATTGTTTGGGCACTGCTGATATTTGCTTGGACACGTTTTATTAACCCTCGGCGCGCATGCGCTGCGAGGGTTATATACAGTAGTGATTACCCTCGGCGCGCATGCGCAGCGAGGGTACTGTAGTTGGGTGTGTGTGTGTGTGTGTGTGTGTCTGTTACTCTACATCTCACTTTTCGAATGTTTGTTCGTCTCACAAACGATATGACCTACTCAACGGGCAATGAAGGTCAGAAATTTCGTGGGGTTTTCTCTGAAAATGCTCCGTTGCAAAGCTAGAGCGCTTCCAGCATTGTATGGCTAATGCCGGTAGTCGCCATTTTATCGCTGGCGGATAATGCGCATGCGCTTATATTTAGACCGACCGGGTCCGCTTGTCTTGAAGGCACAAGAAGTCACAACGAATGGCGTGTATCGACTCTCGCGTGCTATCTTACTGTAGCTAGCCCGTGTCAGACTCTCTGCGAGCTACTTCGCCGAGGGTTTGCACTTTAGTGCTTTCATTGTGTCTGTCTGTCTGTGTGTGTGTGTCGACGCTTATTCTGGCACTACAGGCTACGAGGCGGCCCGTTAGCGGATTCAGAGCATGAAAATTTATTGGGCGATTTTCCTGAAACGACTTCGTTCGAGAGATATGCCGTGAAAACAAGTGAAAAGGCCAATATGCATAATCGCACTGGGCTTACCGCGACCTGATCCGCTCGCTCCGTGTACCTTGAGGGGCTCAGGAAGTCACAACCAATGGCATGTCATGCTATCTACTACTGTAGCTAGCCCGTGTCTGACTCTCCGCGGGGTACTAGCGGAAGACCACGAGTAAACGCAAATAGCGGCCCAGGTGAATAGAAGTGGCAGAGACGCGAGCAGCGAGAGCCTGGGAGCGGGCAAACGATCGATGTCACCCGATTCTCTGTCCACGTCACGTGGCTTTTTTTAAATGCGCATGCGCAGTACGCGACAGAGCTAGAGCTAGCTGCACGGACGCAATGACCGGCCGTTCTTAACTTCGTGCGGCCAATCTTATAAATCGATTTTGTACTCTGTACCTACAACTGCACAGTAGGTTTCACGCGGATATAAGCCCTCACTGCACTAAACCAAAACGCTCGAAGTGCTGTCTTTGCTAGGGCAGCATTGGCGGCACTACCTGGGCGGCCATTGATTAGCCACTAACACTTGATGCTCCTTATGAGGTGTGTTTGCTGTTTTTGACAGTCCTGGTGCAAGGGAAGGCCCAGACAGCTGCACTAATTGCGGATAAGGAAGTGTGCTACGTATTATGATACACTTTTCTTTTACTCAAGGCATTAGTGAACTGAGGAACAACCACCCACTAAAACTTGTAGTTCCCAAGGCAAAAGCCATAGAATTCAGTCTTCTTCGTCCAATCCTATGCATTTACACCTGTGCGATAATGTGATATTGTCATCGTTCACAGCACAACTACGCCTCTACCACAGGGGAGCTCGCTGGACGCAGTCTCTTGCTCCAGAAACAGCCAAGGAGCAAGAGACACAGCTCGCAGGCGGCAGCGTCTAGCAGCTGAGGACTGGAAACCACACCCTTCTCGCTGGCATCGCACACACGAGAGGCACACCTCCAGCAGAGGAGGATGGCTATGTGACAAACTATACTCCTCCCTGTGATCACCAGTGG